TATTGTTGATCTCCTATGCATTTTATACGTTCATTCAATTGATCGATTCACATTTCTATTTTTAGTAAAATACGGGAAAAATGCGTTTTATACGGGAAGTAAGAGTTATTTTCCTTTTTAAACGGGCCGACATTATTATTCGTTTTAAAACGGAACGCGTCTAAAACGGGAAAAAGCTAACTAGGGTACCTATAAGGTACCATAAAATCTAACTTTATATTTTTCAATTTGATTTTCAGACCAATTTCACATATCCACGCCTAACTCGGCCTTCAACTATATCCTAAAGAAGGATGAGCATTAACAACCCTACTTGTTGTACATACATATTCGTATATAAGTCGTGGTCGTGAACAAATTATTATTTTGTCTATGAATTGTATGTTAACTGTTAAGAGGCTATTACAAACAAAAAAAAACGTACACATTTACAGGCGGCGTGTTTGGGACCTGTACAACTAGTTTCTTTCCGATATTAATTCACTAGCTAGACTATATAGTGTCGATTATAAGACAACCGAACAAAAAAATAAGGTCATCTCCTGGGCACGTCCTAGGGTTTTTTTCCGGCGGCGGCCTATCTAGGCCGTGGGTTCGGCCGATCTCTCCCCGGTAGGCAACTTATCTCATATATCTTCTCAAGGTATTGAGTTTGGTTGTCATCGCAGGGTTTGTTTGGTTCTTTTTTGTTTTCTTTCTGACTTGCAATTGCGGTGAATCCGGATTCTGTCTGGACGAAGCTTTTGGTTTTTCTGCTTTACAAGAGCAGCGAACAAGCGAGGAAGCTTTCAGGAGGGTTCAAGGCTTCTGATTTTGGCAGGGGACGGGTTTAGTTTGGGAACGAGCTTTGACGAAACAGATGGCTATTGGTGATAGCATGGAGTTTCTGGTGGTCGACATCGTGATGTTGGACTGGAAAATCAAATTTCAGGGGTTCATTGGTGGCCTATGTGTGAAAGAAGACGAAGGGATGTTGATCCGCCCACCTCCAGAACCACCACCTTGGAGGAATTCTGTGACTAGGGTTTCGACGAGTATTTATATTTCTGCTGAGTCGATTGTGTTTTGTTTTTATTTTATTTCTATTGTGTTTTGTTGATTATTTATTTTATGTTGTAAGACTTTTGCACTTGGATTGGGGGATGAGAGGCTTGCGGTAATCGTCGTGCTTTTGAATATGCCCAATATAGGATTAGCGAGTTATATTGCTTTGTCAAAGGTGATTAATTCAGAGTCTCGTCCACGGGCGGATGGTTACTGTGGCTCTTTTATTATTTCAATCCCTTATAAGTGCTTTTTATGAATGAATGCTAGCTTGTTCGACGATAAAAAAAACTAGCTAGACTATATTCAGGCTTTGACCAAGACAAAAATTTTGGAAATCCTCTCACTTGAACTCTTGAAGTAGTGCCACCTTTTTCTCCTTCTATGTTGTTATGACTTATAATCGTACCATTTCTTCACATTTCCTTCTTACTTTCTCTTATACCGAATAGGGCAAAATATTCCTTCTCACTTTGTCCCTCCACTTAGGGGCACTGGGTCAGAAATAAACCTATAAATACACATATTTTCTAAACATTTTCCTACACATATTCTCCAATTCTTCATGCTCTCTAATACTCTCTAATTATCTTCATCTTCTCCAATTCTCTCTACACCTATTAATATACTATCGTATATCATATCTATTTAAATTAGTTATACAATTATTATATCTACTTATTATCCACTTAAATATTTATTATCTACATAATATATACTTATTATCTACTTATATTTACATATATTATATCTACTTATATATTATGTATATATATTAAAGTATTAAATATAAGTGTACTACTCATCTTATAGTAGTATACTTATATATTATATACTATAAACATTAGATTATATATTAGTTAGTTAAAGTATAATTTATAGTTTATACATTTATTATAGTTTATACATTTATAATTTATAATTTGTAGTTTAACTAATATTCATTAATATTAGTTAAATTTATCCTATTACTTACACACTCACACATCCATTAACTATTATTATACATTCTTTTTTTAATTATTATGCATTCATACATTTATCTTATTAGTTACACTTGTCATTAATACTCCGTATTTATTAGTTAAACTTTCTCATTTTGTCTCCTTTAATATTTGTTACATTCTCAATTCTTAGATATTAATATTAATCATATTAAAGTTGTTATAATAAACTATTAAAGTAGTTTCATTTTAGTTAATACTTGTCAGATTATCATATTAATTAACCATATTTGTTACATACTAGTAGGGGTGGATTCGGTTCGGGCCACCCGGCCCGGCCCGGTACTGTGAGGGCCCGGGACCGGCCCGGTCGGGCGATCCGGGACCGGGTGTAGACCTGAACCGGTGGGAATGGGCGGGGCGGGCACGGTTCCGGAAAAATGTGACCCGGCCCGGCCGGGTCGGGCCCGGGCCCGGGTCCGGGTCCAACGGTCCTTTTTTTTAAAAAAAAGTTGTTAAATGCTTACTAGCCGTTATGGCCTTGGGGGGTGGGCTGGGGACAACCCAAACGGCTATATAGCCGTTGGGTGGGGTGCAGGGGGTCCGGGGGGGTTGGGTGGTGGGGTGGTGGTGGTGGGGGTGGGGGGTAATAAAACCTATAAATACTCCTAATCTTAAACATTTTTTCATATCTCTTCTCCAATTCTTCCTAAATCCTATTCTTAACTCTCTACTCTCTAATTCTCTTATTCTCCATTCTCCAATATATTATATTTATTATTTATAGTTTATATTAATTATCTACTTATATAAACTATAAATATATATAAATAGTATTATATTATCTATATTTGTTATCTAATTATATATTACTTATATATTTATTATATCTATTAATATAGTTGGAATTATATCTAATTAATTTGAAGTCATTCTATTACTCCCATCCGAAAGACCGAAAGTCCGAAAGAGGTACAAAATTATTCTATTATTTACACTTGTTTAATTTTGTATTAACGTTACTTGAAAAAAAAACTAGTTAATTAGGTTGTACAATTTGTTATAACTCGAATTAATAGTTAGATTAATAGTTAATTACTTTATTATAATTTTTTATTAATTGCTAGTTGCTACATTTGACTCTAGTTTAAAAAACTAGTTGTAATTCTAATTATAGTTAAAGTTAAAGTGTATTAATTTCATTGTTATTAAAAAAAATATGTCGTACTCATTGTACACAAAACTAGTTAATTCACTAGTTAATTTGCTATAACTCGAATTAATAGTTAGATAAATAGTTAATTACTTTTTTACAATTTTTTATTAATTGCTACATTTGACTCTAGTTTATTCGTGAAGCTGTTAATCTCGCCGGTGCTTTTTCAAATTTTGAGAATGCTGATTATGTGAGTTATTTTGCTAGTTTTATGAAGGAAAAGTTTTTAAAATATTATTCACATATTCCGCATATTTATGGTATTGCATTTGTTCTCGATCCTCGTTTTAGACTTGGTTCTTTAGAAGAATGTTTGAATTATTATTATGCTGCTTTTTTTGGTCCATTGCCAATGTATGAGGACAACCCAATTGATCCGAAAAAAGAATACAACGAGGTTAGTGATATATTTTATGCATTATTCAATGAGTTTCATGCATAATATGGCAATGCGCCCCCTCCCCCGACACAAACATCATCTAAAGGAAAATCAATTTTCAAATCTATGTTTGCCAATCTTATTAAAAAAACGAAATCAACTCCCGCTACACAACAAAGCACAATTAATGAGATTTCTTTGTATTTAACTTATGATGTTGATTTTGAAGAAGATGATGATTTTGACGTACTAAACTGGTGGAAGGGAAAAGAAAGAATGTTCCCGGTTTTAGTAAAGATGGCTAAGCAAGTGCTATCAATGCCGGTTTCAACGGTTGCCGTGGAACAAGAATTTAGTTCGGCCGACAATGTCCTAACACAAACCAGAACGAGGTTGAGCGTTGAATCTCTTGAGATGCTTATATGCTACCACGATTGGTTGAAAGCAGCCCGTAGAGCTCAAGAAATTGACATCACCTCATCCCAACACTTTATGGATGAATCTACAACCGAGGGTGGCTCTACCTATGCCAGAGATTCCGATTGAATGATTGATTAGTATTTCATGTTTTAAAAACAATTGTAGTTCCTATTTAATTTTCAAATGTAGTTCCTATTTCATTTCAAATAAATGCACTTGAAGTTTGTTTTTTAATACTTGTATAAAACTATAAAGTATAAAATATAAATTATAAAAACAAAAAAAAAATAACAGACCCGGCCCGGCGGGTGGCCCGACCCGTGACCCGGGCAGGTGGCCCGGCCCGAACCGGACCCGTCCAACCCTCGGGCCGGTCCCGGGCCCATATCATACGAACCGGCGGCCCGACCCAGCCCGAATCCACCCCTACATACTAGTATTAATCATATAAAAGTTGCTAGCTTAAAATGTTAAAGTAATTGCATTTAGTTAATTTTATTATACTTGTTTCATTATCATATTAATTAATCATATTTCTTAGATAATAATATTAATTATATGCCCGCCCCAACCCAGACCCCACCCAAAGCCCGACCGGGTAGCCGAAACTGGACCGGGACTGGTATACAACCAGGCCGGTACTGGGACTGGTTTTACCGGAGCCTGGCCCACAACCGGCCCAATCCACCCCTACCTCCCCTCTTCGCTTTTCACTCTTCAATAACTACCGAACATCATCTGTAGTCCTAAAGGACCTAAACCTAGTAATAATTGAGATTATTCCCCCATTATGGAGGCCAAAAAAAATGCTAGTTCTCTTTTAACTGATAATAATAAACTCATATATGAACATTATAATATTGTAATATTGTTCAAGCTTTTTCTGTAAAACAAAAATCTACCCTTATCGTCACTTGTCAGCTATTTGGAATGGATTTATGTTTGATAAAAACAAGTAAAATTGAACTTCATTAATGGAAGTTATAAATGACAAAGCCTGAAAAACAAGGTCCATACTATTACTAACACTCTACCAGTTAGAAGGACAAACTTTCAGCACTATAACGTCAGTAATCAATTAGATGAGACCAGACATAATAAGAAATCTTTATAAGTGGTGAATAGATAATGGCTTTTACAGCATTCTCACATCCATGCTAAGGAAGAAGCTAATAACAAAGAAAAAGTTTTTCAAGGGGTCATTAAGAGACGAATTCAGGGTTATTTATCCTTCAACAATTTGCTTCTTCATACCGAATGGCTCAGTTTTGTCAAACTCAATGGCAAGCTGGCAATTGCACTTTAATAGTAAGGCATGTATCGCATTGGCCGCCTAAACCTTGGCACCTTCCTGCATTGAGGCATGTATCACAAGAGTGATCTTTCATATCACTGATCCATAAAAGTATTTAAATTAATGTCGTAAGTTGAAAATTACCCATATCCATAGGGGGAATAGAAGTAGGGAGGCACATAAGGCCTCCGAAAACCATATGCCATGTAAGGGTTGAAACGCCTTCCACGAAACTGTTTCATCCCAGGAACATTTGTCCTCTTTGGCATAACCTGCAAAGTTCAGCAATTGGAGTAGAGCCAAAAGGAAGCCAAGGGCAGCAACTCAATAACATAAAGCATTTCGAGATGCTTTTTGTGCAGATGCAGTTTATGTTGGTATTATTTAAACCCCTTTCAAGATTCTATCCCCATGCATCAAGGAGAGCTGGGGACAGAATGTTTACCTTCAACTGTCGCCCATGGAGTTCAGATTCAGTCAGCTTGATTGCCTCCTGAACAGCTTCTTGTTCAAGGAATTCCACATATGCAAAGCCCTTTGGCTGACCAAACTTGTCTGTCAAAATAGTGACTCGGTTCACTGTACCACATGCTTGGAAATGTTGCTGAACTTCCTCCGGGGTGCATGCGTAATCCACCTTAAAGACCGTATAAGAATTACTAGTTAAGAAATAAGGTCAATGAACATTTACATAATCTTTCCTGAGGAACAAGGTTGCAGAGTCTTTCAGCAGATGCCTCTAATTATGGCTTCTCTTCTTAAAATTTTAATAATTTTTTTCATTACAGCACCTATCCTCTCTCTCTAAGCCATGCATGCAGACCTCATGATATACTTTTTTATCTCATTTTCCCTTAATTCCTTTTTCTCTCAGGATCAGAAATTTTCTCAGGACTGAAAATAAACACACTTTAAAATGTCATTCTTATCAAGCCTACTAAAACCGTTATCTACTTATCTTCAAACACAAGGTAATAAAATAAAACCCAGCCAGCCAGGCTATTCAGTAACATCATAGTGATCATAGTGGGATAGAATAAAAAAACATGACTCCCAAGAAGCCAAGTCAAAATTGAGTCAAGTCAGTGTCAGCGCAGAGAATAAAAGCTTCTAAATAACAAAAGGATGTATCAGGAAAGAGTAACCAGAAATGCACATGCGAACTTCATCCTTTTTGAAGGGTATGTGAAAAATAGTGTTAATTGCATATGTTAAACAAACAAGTAACAATTACTGTCAATTGTATAAATTTAAGTAAAGATATTACACAGATTGGTCACTTTCCCATAACTACAGAAAATAGCAACTACCTTAATGCATTATTGTCTTCTGATATTCCCCTTAATGGTGAAAAAAAAACTGAAAATGTATGTTGACTTTTTAGAAATTTCATCTCATTATTCCTTCATTAGAAGGTTGCGACAAGAATCGAAACCGACTTAACTTTGCCACTACGCATTCATTTTGCAAGAACTTATAGCGTCAAGCCATTTAGAACAATTAAATCACATATTGACACATACTTCGACGCTTTTGAAAAAAGTAATTAAAGTAAAAACAGCATCCTACAACTCACATTGCCAACAAATATTGATCGTGAATCAAGTTCCTCCTTGTTTGCCTGAGAAGCAGGATCACTGGCAGGATCTACCCAAAACAAGAAATGCAAATGCAGAAGACAGAAAACGACATAAACCATATTGATATAATCAGACACGAAAAATATAAAAACATGAAAGAAGTGAAACAATAGCCCAATGGTTCAATTAAGATAGTGAGGATTGTGAAATGCAAAACCAGACATATACTACATATATGCACACACGCTAAAACTTTAGCACAAAAGACATCATACTGATTCTTAATTTCTTCTTTCCATTTGCAATTACAGCATTTATTTGAATTCCTGAGATGAAATTGTTCTAGAAGTGCTGTGTGTTTCATTACCTATATACTGAAAAAAGAAAACAGAAACATAGGGCATGGCACATTTCACACAGTAGCAGACAGAAATCTTCTAACAAATAAAAAAGATTATCAGTTCATTGAAGAACAAAAGACAAGCCCATCTCAGGGAGTAAAAAATCCCCAGCAAGGCAGCAATCCAGTAAAAATCAAGTCTTTCAAGCATTAGCTATTACTTCGAACATGATTTAGACTAACGAGTCACTCCAACTATTTTAATGTTCCTTCTTTAATGACTGGTATATCTTTCTACGGTGTCATGCTTAAACCCAACTAAATTAAGTAAATTCATAACAAAACAAGAAAGAAACCTTAATTTGACAAAGGAGTCCAAACATTATTTGATATACAATACAACTGAATAGGGACCGGGGGGGGGGGGGGTCTTCAAACCCTAATGTTGGATAAATTAAACCATGTTCTACCTTGAACGGCGCCCATCTCCTTCTCAACTTTGGCCTGCATTTCTCTAAGCGCAGCAGCTTCTTCTTCCATCTCCTTCAATCGTTTCTTCATCTCATCCAACTCCTGCAATTCCGTACCATCAGGCATTCTACCCATAAGTTCATCATCAAACAGATAAACTAAATAAATTGAAAGAGATCATCGAATGCTATGAGAAAGGACCTTAACGGCGTCGTCATCGGCGGTGGACATGTCAACATCGGCCCCGTGAGACTCTACGTCTCCTTCCAATTCACCTTCGACGGGGATTTCTCCTCCATACACCTCGTGCTCCTCGTCTTCCATCTCTTCACAGTGCACTCTCGGCAACACTGGGGCACTGGGCTAACAGCTCGAATTTTTTCTTTGCTTTAGAAATTAAAAAATACGAATAAATAAAAAAGGACAGTGTGGGAATAATACTTTATAATTCGAAAAATATATACTCCGTACTTCCCAGGCTCTAAATGAATTTTTTTCGAATTAATGTTAATTAATTAATTAATTACGAAAATAATACTGGAAAAAAGATATTTACTGATTTACGGGTAGGTTTAACCATGGTCAGGGAAAGTCGCCCAACGATTGGACGACTTATAAGTCGCCAAACCGTTTGGCGACTTATAAGTTGCCCAACCGTTGGGCGACTTTCCCTTCCATATGAACGTAGCCCAGCAGCTACTGTCAGCCACGCATGATCGTGCCTGCAAGGGTAGACATGATTGTGCCTAATTCCGAAAACAGAATTTCACCATTTTTTTGCCCCAGAGGCAATTACATTATTTCTTCCTTTTGCATTGTGCCACCCATTTGTGTTTATCGGACTCTATCACCCGATAAAATTGGTTCCGTTTGATAGAATACAAGCTCACCATATTGATGACTTGTTCTTTGTTGTCAAACTGGGGTCGACCTCAATCTCACCTTCGGGGGTAAACCTTTTCTCACCTGACCCACTCATCCACGCTTCAGTAAAGCCTTCAAGGAGATCATACATTCTAGTAAAGTGGCTAGACAGGGCAGTTGTCGTGACCGTATCACCATCATCTTCATCAGATTCTGTCATGTCATCACCATTGATGTTGTCGTCAGCATCATCACTTCCCTGCTCATCCACAAATGATGCACCGTTGTGCAAATACCTACCATCTTCTTGTATAACCATGTCCAGTATAGGAGCATTTGAGGAGTTCCCTGCATTCACACCTGCATTGACATAATGCCTAGATACAACAGCATTTGATGTTGATGGAGTACCATAAGCGTCACATATGGATTCCTCAATGTATATCTCCAGCGTCGATATGTCCTCCATCTGAACTATGCCCCACATATTTGTTATAGCTAGCTCATCAATGAGGAGCATAAGCATGTACTTTCCCCCGTTCATGAGAAATTTCATTTTCAAAAGCAAAGAATGACTAGGATGAATCATTGTGGTTGCATGTATTTTTTGAAGGATCTCGAGCATGCAAGCACCACAAGAAACCATGACAAATGTGGTTCTACCACCTTCATGTCATATTTGCCCAGCATCCTCATAATAGTTCCCTCCTCAATGACACACGGTTGGGAAGCTTGAGAAATCCATATTCTAATAACAATTCATTGTCCAACGATCATGAGTAGACATCAATATACACAATTCATACGCATTCAAATTTTCAATAGAAAAAACTACCAAAATTCTAATATATCCAAAAGTCAAAATTTACAAACAACTCACATTTCAATATGAAAATACCCAAATTTTGATATCTACATTCAAGTTTACATTTCAATGCCCAAATTTACAATCAATTTAAAATCAAATTTCAACATTTCATACATATCCACATTTCACAACAACTCAATTCACAATCAATTCATAATCTAAAAATTCAAAAATTTTAACATTCAAAACCCTAAGTTCAAAATGAGATGAAATGGAGTTTGATTTACCTACAAGAAAGAAGAAAGAGTGTTGAAGATGAAGATGGAGGTTTGCCGGAGTGGGGTCGCCGGAGATGGAGGTTCACCGGAGTTGGAAATGGCTCGGTCGTCGTTCGTCCTTCGTCCTTCGTCGCTGCGGATTGGGGGATTTGGGGCTTGGGTTTACGTCGTTCTGTTTTGTGGTTAGCCAATATTTTTACTTAAGGGAAAGTCACCCAACGGTTGAACGACTTACCCCGACCATGGTTAATCCAGCAGTATATTGGTAAATACTTTTAACCCAACCCTATTTTCGTAAATAATTAATTAATTAACATTAATACGGAAAAAACTCACCCTGAATTACATTTACTTCCGTATTACTTTTCCTTTTTCACTTGTTCTAAGATTATGTTTGTTTAAAAATCTTTTAAATAAGATATTTTTCTCTACATTGATTTCATTTTCACACCAAATCAAATTTAAAAAGACTATACTTAAATAAAAAAGACATAATCAGATAAGAGTTTGACAATTGTAAAAACAAAGATCAAACATCCATCAGACTTAAACAAATCAAATTAGAAAATTTCTGTCTAATTAAAACATTCTAAAACATAATGGAGATGTGTGAAATTGATTTTGTTATTACTTTTTTTTTAAAGTATAGGTAGAACCAGAACTATTTTTCACAAGCTGATCTCCCCCAACTTCTAAAAGAACTACTTTTAGGAACAAATTGGAACACCCAGAAGTATTTCTGCACTTTCACCCAGAAGGTTTTATTGTTATTAAAACCAAATGGCGGCCATATTGACTATGAAACACAAGAGGATAGTGATAATAGTAATGAAGAAGATTTGATTGGCAAACCTGTCCCAGACTATTATCGTGACATCTTCGTCACATTCAATCGAAAGAAGAGGCCGAAGTAGTGGACTAGGAGGTGGGCTGTAGTGGGTTTTGAATTTTTGTTTTTGATGGACTTTTAAACTGTTTTAATGCTCGTGGACTGTTTTGATACTAAGTTGGGGCCTGTCCCATGCTAGTTTTGATTTTTGTGAGGTGGGGGGAGGAGGTTTGGATATTATTTGTAGCTAGTATAGACTAGCTTGGATAGTTTCGATGCATTGTATTATGATATTTTTCTAGATATATATTTACATTTTATCCACAAAAAAATTAAGGCTAATGAAACTATGAGAGTGCCAAACTAGGGTGATAACTTAGTAGAGGAGAAAACAAATTTTAAATGCAAGGACAATTTATTTAATTTTAAATAAATGAAGACTTATGTTAGGTCATCAATAAACAAATAAGGAGTACAAAGTATGACGAATACTTCCTTTTTGTAGGCATGACAATGGGTTGGGGCGGGTACTAAAAGACCCGGATCCGTCCCGTAATTCACCCTTCATCTCATTCAAATATAAATATTAATAATATATTATGAGACCAAATGTATGTTTGTAGTATATTTCATTAAAAAATGTGTATGCTTATATATTTAGCAGGGGACGGGGCAATACGGGTCAATACTAATACCCTGACCCGCTTACATTATACAAGATGAGGCGGGTCTGACCCGCCCCAAATGTCTGAGGTCGGGGCGGGTCGTTGTAGGTCGTTTTTTTTACATGTCTTCCCTTAATGGAGTGTCTAACTTAATGATTCGATCTTTCTTTTATGCCTTTTTTCGTTAATGTTCTTCAATTCACACTGTTGATTCATTTTTTATGAATATTTTGCAAATTGAGCATCCAAATTAAACTTAGGTCGCCAAGGGCAATGGTTTTTACTAGTTACTCCATGTTAGCAGGGGCGGAACCAGAGGGGGGCGAGCCGGTGCTGGCGCCACCCCTTCGCCGGAGTTTTAGAGGTAGTAGTATTAGGTATCCCGGCAAGCGCCCCGTCTTCTTCTTCGGCCAGACCTGCGCCCCTGCTATTCTGAGATCCAGAGAGCTGCAAACCAGGTGAGGTGTGAGTGTTTTTTTTTAATTAAATCATTTAGCCAAACGACGTTGTTTGGTTAAGTGCACAGAAACGGAAGAAACGACGTCGTTTTGACTGCGGTTTGAGTTTTCCGTTTCCGTCTATACGCGTTCCTCTTGGAGTTGGGCCGTTCCAGTCTGAGACCCAGCTTTGTCTGCCTTCAAGATGTCTTCGCCAATCGCAGGTGAGCAGGTCGAGTTCCGCAGAATCGCAGATGGCAGACGGTCCTAGCCAAGCTTCGAGATCTCTTCGCCAATCGCAGGTCGAGAGTTCTTCCGTCGTCTGTCCGCCAGGCGCCAGTCCAGTCCTCGGTCGCAACTCGCAACTCACGCAAGAAGAGCGCAGCCTTGTGATAGGTTATTTGCAATCTGGCATTATGGGATTTCTGGCCAATCTCGAATCAACCGAGTAATTGAGTAAGAAAGTTGATTTGGTAAGTAATTTTAAAATTGATAACTGTTTTAATTAATTTTATTGGTTGTTTGCTTTAAGAGTTTAACTAATTATTTAATTTGAAATTGGACTGATCAATAGCTTTAAGGTTTGATTTTAATTTGCAAGTTTATTGATTCCTCAATACAATTGCTTTTTATAGTAATAATTGATTATAAGCTTGAATTGGTAAAACCGTAGACCGTATAAAATTGAAATTGAAAGTGCTTTAATTGTTTTAAATTTTAATTGATTATAAGTATTTAAGAATTTGAAATTGAAATCTTTTTTAACTTGTTAGGTTACTCATGCGATCATGTCTATTTTACAATTTGTAACACGAGAGGGTGGACCTTCTAGACGAGATAATGAAGAAAGTAGTAGAGAAAAACATCCTCGTGTCAAATTTGATCCAAATGATATTGTGTCTGATCCTGGATTACGTAAGCCAATATTCAAGTATAATTCTTTTATTAGAGACCAGGTTATGAGAGAATATTTAACAAGAGGTCCGTGTAGACCGATTGGCCATGTATATCCTAAAAGAGTGTATGGTAAAGAAAAGAGAAGTTTTCAACCTGCTTGGTTTGAGAAATATCCATGGTTGGAGTATAGCATTTCAAAAGATGCTGCTTATTTCTTGTGGTGTTATCTTTTCAAAGATTCAAATAAAGGAAATCGAGTTGGAGAAGTTGCATTTACCGATAAGGGGTAAATAATTGGAAAAAAGCACTAGATATATTCAATACTCATGTTGGTGTGGTGGGTAGTGCTCACAATAATGCTAGAGTGAAACTTGAAACTTTTCAAAATCAAAGACAAAGTATCTCACATTTGATAAGTGCACATGGGCGGGAAATAGAAGTTGCGTATCGCATTCGTTTAACCGCAATTTTGGATGTGATACGATTTCTGTTGAAGCAAGGTCTAGCATTTCGTGGTCATGATGAGTCATATAGTTCTTTAAATAAAGGTAATTTCCTTGAATTACTAGAATGGTATAGTCAAAG